GGCATCATCAAGATCAGCCTGAAGACGCTGCTGGAGTGCGTGCGGCTGCGCACCTTTGGGCGCTTCGGCCTGCAGCAGGTGCAGGTGGACTGTCACTTCCTGCAGCTCTACCTGTGGCGCTTCGTGGCTGATGAGGAGCTCGTGCACCTGCTGTTGGATGAAGTGGTGGCCTCGGCTGCCCTGCGCTGCCCGGACCCAGTGCCCATGGAACCCAGTGTTGTCGAGGTCATCTGCGAGCGTGGCTAGGCCGGGCCGCTGCCATGCATGGGCCTGTGCAGTCGCCCTCCCCTCCCCGTCCCCTGGTGTCCCTGCGTCCGCTGGCCCTTCCCCTCGGGCCTCAAGACCCGCCAATAAAGACGTGTTGTTTCCTCCTCCCTCTTGCTTGCGGGGGCGGGGCTGGCTGGGGGTGGAGTTGTGAGGTGGCTCAGGAGGCAGCCGCGTCAGACCCGCCCCCCAAACCGATTGGCTGGAGTGTGGGCCCAGGATGGGCCGGGGGTGGGTCCACTTAAAGACCTAGGGACTCGAGCGGTAGCAGTCCGAGCTCAGGGACCCAGCAGGTGCTTGTGCAGTGGGCTGATCCTCCGCGTCTCCAAGCTCATGTCCTGGGGGAGAAGGTGGACTGTGCTTCTCTGACGGACTCTTGTGTACCCCCCCCGCCGGTGGAGCGGAGACCATGGCCTCTCCTCAGGGCTCCCGGGCTCCGCTGGAATTCGGGGGACCCCTGGGTAAATGGGGCGGGGGTGGAATCTGTGGTCAGGCTCAGCGAGGGCTCAAACGGGGCGGGGGGTGGAGGAGCTAGGATCTGAGGGTGGAAAGCTTTGAAGGGTCTCCAGAAGCAGAGGGATCTGGGGCTTGCGAGGGACTGTCTGGGGAGGGGGCTGCACAGCACCGGATTGTGGAGTGGAGGATTGTACCAAGAGCAGGAGGAGGAACTTTGGGGGGGGAGAGGGGGCGGGGCCCAAGATGGAAGTCAGGGGAGGGGCTGAGGGCTGAGAACGGGATATGGAAGAGGGCAGTGGGAATGCTGAGGGGTCCTGGAGACGACAGGGCGCCTGGGCGGGGCGGGGGGGTGTTGGCGTCGGAGGGCAGCTGCGGAGCCGACGCCCGACGCGATCGCCCCCGGTCCCAGGCGCGGCGGTGCTGATGCTGCTGCTTCCTGCCACCATGTTCCACCTGCTCCTGGTGGCCCGCTCGGGCCCCGCGCGCCTCCTGGGCCCACCCCCCTACCTGCCGGGACCCGAAGTGCTGTGGAGCCCGCAGATGCTGCTGCTGTGGTTCACCTGGCTCGGCCTTCAGGCGGCTCTCTACCTATTGCCGGCGGGCAAGGTGTGCACTCGGCTCGCGGGGGAGGCGGGCGGAGGGAGGGGGCTCCGCTGGAGAGAAGACACTCTCACCCCTTATCAGAGCCGCTTTGTGCCTGCAGGTGGCCGAGGGACAGGAATTGAAGGACAAGAGTCGCCTGCGCTACCCCATTAACGGTGCATGGACGCGGGGGCGGGGGGATGGCTCCCTGCGCTAGAGTTGTGCGGGTGGGGATGGAGCTCTAGGCCCAGTGGAGATTAGCCCCCAGCCCCAAGCTCCGTCAGATGCCTATTTTACGCTGTGTGCCCAGGGTAGCCTTGGGGGAATCTCACTGTCCCTCTCCACGTCCCTTGTTCCTCCACCCCTACCCGCAGCATTTGCTCTTACTCTCTGCACCAGAGCAGTGGTTGGGGTGACCCAGGGGCAGGGCCATTGACCTCCTTGGGCTTTGGACTGTGTTTGTGTATTAGGGGGGGTGAGGGGGGAGTGAAGGGGAAGGGCAGAGGTGTAGGGGCGCAGCCCCCAGGATTCATTGTGTACTGTGGTTCAGGCTTCCAGGCCCTGGTGCTGACAGCCCTGTTGGTGGGCTTGGCTGTGTCTGCCGGGCTGCCTCTGGGGGAGCTCCCGGAAATGCTCCTGCCCTTGGCCTTTGCGGCCACCCTCACCGCCTTCATCTTCAGCCTCCTTCTCTATCTGAAGGCCCTGGTGGCCCCTGCCTCGGCCCTGGCCCCTGGAGGGAACTCAGGTGAGAGGGGTCCCAGTAGGGTGCAGACAGAAGCAGATGGGGGTGCTCACTTGCATCTTCAGCCTCCGTTATTCTCCAGGCAATCCCATCTACGACTTCTTCCTGGGACGGGAGCTCAACCCGCGCATCTGGTCCTTCGACTTCAAATATTTCTGTGAACTGCGACCTGGCCTCATCGGCTGGGTAAGCTGGGCATGTCTATGTGGGCCAGGAGGAGGGGTGGGACGCCTAAGCAGTGCTTGGGCAGGACAGGGCAGGGCCACTATTGCGCAGAGGTAAACCATTAATCACTCATCCCACAAATATTTGTTGAGTGCCCCGGGCACTACTCTAGATACAAGGAGACAAAAGAGAAAAAAAGTTATGGGAAAGCAAAAAACAAACAAACAAACAAAACTCTGCCCTCGTGGAGCATACATTCTAGGAAAGACAGACAAAAACACGAGTGAAATATATGTAGCGTGGCAGGGGCGCTACGTGCTAGGGAGAAAAGCATGGAGGGAATTAGGTGAGCAGGTGCAACTTTAAATAAATCAAGCTCAAAATCTATTCTGAGGACAGGAGAGGCTGATGCTTTGCTGCCTGCTGGTCCTAGCGGTGCAGCACTTGAGACTGATCATTGGGTGAGCAAGCTGTCAATCACTAGTGGCCTCGAGGACATGCCAACTGTGGGTTTGGGTTATAATCACCCATGCTGGACTGTGGTCACGATTTCCCAAAGGGTCTCTTGGGCAAGGTCCCTCATGTCACCCTGGAAACTAGAGGTGAGAGGAGGCCAAGTGTCCACCATGGATCTGCACCCTGGCCCCCGAGGCGATTTCCCCATGTGTGAAATGGGATAAAGTTAGAACTTCCTGCAAAGGTTCTTGTGAGGGTTAGAAGTGGTAATGTTAATCACAGCACCAACCCAGTGCTACCAGAATGGGTTTACTCACACGAGTATTTATTATGTGCCAGACACATCATGTTTCGTGCTGCCCATTCACTATGTCAACGAGTCCCCAGACAAGCTCCGTGAGGCAGGTCCATGATTATCTCCATTTTCCACATGGGGTGGGGGAAAGGAGGCTTTGGAGGCGGGCTGGGGACAGACTGCCCTGTCCTCCCTTTCCCATGTCCCCAGGTCCTCATCAACCTGGCCCTGCTGATGCAGGAAGCAGAACTTCGGGGGAGTCCCTCCCTGGCCATGTGGCTCGTCAATGGCTTCCAGCTACTCTATGTGGGTGATGCTCTCTGGCATGAGGTGAGGCTGGACTGGGTGAAGAGGCAGGGAGGGCATTTGAGGACCTCATGGGGACTCAGTGGGTGTGTCTGGGTCCCACCCTTGCAGGAGGCTGTTCTCACCACCATGGACATCACACACGACGGGTTTGGCTTCATGCTGGCCTTTGGGGACCTGGCCTGGGTACCCTTCACTTACAGCCTGCAGGCCCAGTTCCTGCTCCATCACCCACAGCCCCTGGGGTTGCCCATGGCCTCAGTCATCTGCCTCATCAATGGTCAGTCAGGAGGGGGCCCCTCCCCCTTTCATTCATTCATGTTCTGTTTATTCAGCATCTGGTAGGTACTAAGCCTCAGGCACTCCTCTAACACAGGGGTGGAGGTTGGGGGTGGGGTGGGGTAGGGACTGGGTCCTAGGTCTCCAGGCCAACTGGGCTGTGGGTGGATGGTCAGGGTCAAGTAGAAGGCTCTAAACCTCAACCCTGACCACTTGCTCATGCTTTTCCCTAGCTGTTGGTTACTACATCTTCCGGGGGGCCAATTCCCAGAAGAGCACCTTCCGAAAGAATCCTTCTGACCCCAGAGTGGCTGGTGAGCTGGGTTTCTAGGGTGCCATGAGTGAAGTGGTGCAGCTGGGCTTCCTCCAGGTCCCCCATCCCATTCCCTGTCTTTCCCCAGGCCTTGAGACCATCCCCACAGCCACGGGGCGGCAGCTGCTGGTGTCTGGGTGGTGGGGTATGGTCCGCCATCCCAACTACCTTGGAGACCTCATCATGGCTCTGGCCTGGTCCTTGCCCTGTGGTGAGTGGCTTGGGAGGGCACAGGACGGGGACCGCGCGCGTGTGAGGGACAGAGGTGGTGACCACAGGATGCCCCTTCTGGGTGTGTAATGGAGAACGGGGATGCAGCCTAGTGGAGGGAGCAGTCAGGGAGCTGGGAATGGATTCAGTGAGTGGCTGGGGGCAGACCTCCCCGCCAGCCTCGCGGAGCCAGCCCCTTGCTGCAGACCCGGACCTTTCACCAGAGCCCGTGTCCCTGTGAGCCATTCCATGCGGAAACCTTTGCGAGCTGGGGAGCTGCTGGGCGGTCACAGCCTCCACTTCCCCACAGGAGTGTCTCACCTGCTGCCCTACTTCTACCTCCTCTACTTCACGGCCCTGCTGGTGCACCGGGAGGCCCGGGACGAGCAGCAGTGCCTGCGGAAGTACGGCCTGGCCTGGCACGAGTACTGCCGGCGCGTGCCTTACCGAATCCTGCCCTACGTCTACTGAAGCGGCTCCACTCAGCCCAGACGGGGGCAGGTGCCCACCCATCCGGCAGCGCGGCCGGCCCGGGAGCCCGGGCGCCACCCTGCTCTGAGCTCCAGCAAGCAGGGACCAACAGCCTCAGGGAGGTGCTCTGGAGCAAGGAGAGGTGCAGCCAGTGTCCACAAATGGGAGTGGAGGGGCTCGCTCTTCCTCCTGGATAAACATCTGGAACCCATGGTACCACTTCCCTCCCTTTCTGGGGCTAGGGTGTTTAAAAACTGGCTGGGTCAGCTCTGGCCCAGGACAAGCTGAGAGGTGGCTTGTGGGCCCGAGAGTCTGGGGTTGGGCGGCGGGGGTGGG